GGGAAAACTGGCTGGGGAACATAAGTACTAATTTCTGTCAATTAGATTATCTTGAATGGAATATTTAATATTTTTAATGGATCATCATTTAATTGCTGCCCATGGGTACTTATAGCTGTTGGAAACTCTGATCTAAATGATTATTTTAATGAAAGATTGCCAAAGGACTCACATTTTAAACTCCAACATAGGATAACAGTGGGACTATTTTCCTTGGGTTTCTGTGCTGGCCAGCTATCATTTCCCAGTTACGGCACTCAGGGTAATGCTAATTAGCACATCTACAGACCTATCCAAGGCTAATTGCTGAGGGTGTTCACCACAAATCCTACTGCAGAGCCTCCTCAAAAATTCAGAGTGCTACAGGTTCATGAGCTGATGGGGCCATAGCCTAGCAGAGCAAGCTCAGGAAAGGGCTCCTTCGTATTTGTGTCAGTGCCCTGAGGGCACTAATAGCTTTAATTGCCCTGAACAGCCCCACCTGGGCCCCCACCCACACCTGCTGCCCATCGGCCAGGGTTCCATTTAAGCTCAGCTTTGAGGGCTCTATGTTTTTCCTGAGCTGTGCTGTAGGTGCAATTGCATATCTGCCTTGCTCTCCTGCATGGATCAAGGGCCTATATTACAGGTATGTCTGTCACCAGCCCTGGTTTTGGCCTGTCTCTGGGATGGACCTTGGGTTGATGTAGTAGCCTTACCTGGTAGCTTGTTGCTGGTGTATGTGAGCCGGTATTTGTATATTGCTGTACTGGTGGGATGATGAGGCACCATTGGCAATGTTTTGCTACCTGAGGGTAGATGAGTTTGGGATGCTGCCTTGGACTATGACCAATTTTTCTTGCTTGAATCGCAGTATGTCAAATTTTCTCCCTAACCATCCCCCCACCCCCTGAAAAAAAACAACTTCATGGAGATCTTGAAACTACTTCTAAAGGTCACTTTTCTGCTCCATGCAAGTTGCCAGGTTATGAAGTCTCATCCAAGAAAACCTTCCACACACATATGTGTGCCTATAAAGCCCTTTAAGCCATCATTACTGTCCCCTTCTCCAAACAGAGATGTGGAATTTCAAGTGGAAATATGGATTTTTATTTAAAGTCTTGGTATGCTTTTCAGCCACAATAGATAAATACACGGCACAAGAGCACTGCGTTGCCCTTTGTTTACTGTGTAGCATTGCTTTCCCATTCGACTGGAGTGGTGAGTCAGTGTGGCCATTGAGCTCACCCTGTTCTCGGAGGTCCTCTCCAGCCTTTGGGCCAGAGGGCACCTCCTGAGGGTCAGCTGCTTTGGTGTCGTATTTTAGGAGATTACTTTACATGTTGTCTTCTTGATAGCATAGAGGACTCCCTATCAGATTGTTCTATGCTGCAGCGTCAGCGCAGATGCTTAGGGGAAAAAAAAGCTGTTGCTAGACCCAGACAGTTGGAACTTGTGACCTAGTTTCCCAAAATCATGAGATTGGCTTGGGAAATTAGATATCTATTTTTTTTTTAAGCGACTACATTAAGTTCTAGTTTGGGGAATTACTAGGGATAATCCAGTTGCTATTTCAAATTTTTCTCCATAGTAGTAAGGGTGAGAAATGTATATTTTGTGATATGAAAGCAGGGGATTTGCTTGAGTCTAGCAGATAAGAAAAGCGTCAAATGCTGTGAGACTGGTTTAAAGCTGATGATACATGGACAGTTTAAAGTTGCCTTTATTGCACATTTGCTGGTGTTTTTCAGCAATTCTAGATGCCCAGACTCTACATGCCAACACCAGTTACGTTATGCATGAATTGGCTTTGACTTTCCTGCGATCAGCCAGGACTTGCTGTGTGGCAGAAGGCTGTAGCAGGAGAGCTGGGGTGCCTTCATCCCCACTGCCCTCTGGAGATGTCCACTTCTCACTGTCCTCGGCTTTTTGCAGCAAGTTTTTTCTCTAAAAATGCTAAGCTTGTTTACAGACTTGTTGAGGACCCACGCTCCCTTGCGGCTACGGCTCCTGGAACATAGTTACCTGTTGGGATGCCTTCTCCTTATTTTCCTGCCTGGGTGGCTGCCAACAGGGATACGGGCTGGAGCGGTTTTATAACCTGGTGGAAGCTAAAAAAAGGACCCCAGCTCTGCTGCCCTCCCTTCGCTGTTCCCAGACCCGTCTTTTCCACACCGCCGTGGCGAGTTCGGCTGCGTGCAGCCCAGTGGGACCGGTGTGGGAGGGTGAAATGTTCAGCTGGGCTGTGGAGGAATGGGCAGTTTATTATTTGTTGCCATTGGATACTGATAGCAGAGTACCAATTTTAACTCCAGCTGTAAGGCTGCCCTGAGTACAGAACCAGCATCTCTTAAAGCAACCGGTGGTTCTGTATTTCTCCAGGAAACGTTCACAGCGGTCTTTGAGGCTGCAGCACTCCTGATGTGCCCGTGGTGCCCTTCTTTCTGGTGAAGCTTACCCCTGGGAGTTGGGAAAACAGGGCTCTTATCAAAAACTGGAAAAGAAGTAATTGGAAGGAATGTTGTGTGCACAGATATGTTGTGTTTTACTAAAAATAAAGGGGGTTTTCTGGTTTTGGTTTCGTGTTGGGTTTTTTGGGTTGGTTTGTTTGTTTATGGGTTTTTTTGGGTTTGTTTGTTTTGTTGGGTTTTTTTTTTGCTATTGATACATCAAACTGTTTTGCTGCAAAGCTTAGACCCGAAACCAGGGCTCTCAGATGCTGCAGACAGACCATGCTAGGAACTTGGCACGGCTTGGTTGGTTTGCTACCCTGGTGGCATGCTCTGTGGAAGCTATGGGGCTGCCTGCACAGGCTTCCTAAAGACCAACGTTCATGATTCAAATCTTAGAAATATACAGGAACTGCCCTCAGGCAGTGATGCCCTGCTTAACGGCCCCACCTAATTTCCCCTCTGAACTACATACTGTGCTATAAGTAGCTCTGGCACCTGCTGAAATGAGAAATGTTTCTTTCCCTGAAACCAGACACTAGGAGTGGTTAATTACCACATCCCAAATTGGCACAGATTAATGCAGCTTCAGTGAAGCCAATGAAGCTTCATGGAATTATTCGTGCCCTGGCTCAGAGTCATTAATAGGTATAGTCCTGGCTATTTTTATGCTCTTCAATTTATTTTGTTAGATTACAAAAGCAATTATCAGCCCAAAGCTGTTTTTCCTGGGTATAAAAAAAAAAAAACTCAACTTTTTCTATTGCAGTAAATCATTGGTCTGAGTTTTTCTTGTGCATGTTTTATGTGGACTTAATGGATGAGCAAACTTAGCCGTATGAGAACTAGCTCTTGCAGCCCCAGAGATGGGGCTATACCAAATCTGTTTCTTTCCATGTATAGAGGCAGTAAAATAGATATGTATGTGTGCATATAAACACTGCTATATATCCTGCAATATGTGTACACATGCATGAAGTAGTTGCTTTTGAACAACCTTTGGCTATGTAATTTAAGTGGAAAATCCTGTAGTTAGAATTTTCTTGATGCTTGGAGGAGTGGACCATTATGGAGGTGACTGTGGTGGCTATATGAGAACTAAACAAGTAAAGCTGTCGCCTGAGGAGTGGAGTTGAAATAGCTAGAGCCAGGACCTAAAGAGAGCTAGAGTTCAGACACATCACAAAATGAACAAATTAGGGCTTACAACTGTGGGACTGTTTTGGAGATCCTGCTTTTGGATGTTGTCAGTTAGGAAAATTGACATGGAGTAATGATGACCAGTAACTTTTCCCCCTAAGAAGCACTCACCTAGCAGGGAGTTAAATGCTTTGATTGTAATACTACCTCTACTGATTCTACATTGGTTTTACAACCTGATACTAAAGTCTCCTAAGGCCTTTTTGAAGCAGAAGTCTGGAGCAGCTGTGCTGCTGCTGTAGTACTGGTACCTATATTCCCAATTCCTGTGATCTCCAGCAGCCATATCGCTGCTGCTTGTGGCTGTGTCTTTGTGGTTCATCTGTTGTCACACCTAGCCATAGGTGTGCCTCGGTGCTATCTTAGAGATTGGTTTCATGGGGAGGTGGTTAAGACAGAGCTTTCAAGCTCTGTGGATTTTTATTCTGTTAGAGAAACCCCAAAGAAAACACTTGCCTGGCAGATTAAGAACTAACTGCTTTAAAGTTATCCCAATTAAGATCATACCCAGGACATGCAATCCCACTACCCTGGAGTTTAGAGCCAGATGGCAGAGTGTCTGTGTTTACAAACCAAGTTAGGCAACAAAAGCAGCTTTGTATCAAAATAGTTTTATTAAAAAACAGTAAGAAGCTTCACTGAAGCTTTGCTATCCTCAAGACAGAATTATGACATTATTGCAGCATTCAACACAATCATAATCCACATATAAAAATAATACTATATAGCTCCTGTTCGCCTTGGCCAAGTTTCGCCCTCAGTCTGGCCTCGTGCTGCCGCACCAACCCAACCCTGCGTGCTTCAGTGGCAGAACCTGTTCCTCTGGGAACAGAGTTAAATCCCTTCCTCGCTTCACAGTGCTGTTACTGTCTGGAAGCTGCACAGAAACCCAACGCACCTCCTTGCAGCTAGAGGCAGTTCACAGAACCAGCGTGAACACCCCAAGCCACTGATTATGGCAACACCAGTTGATGTTTAGGAAAAATAAATACACAACCAATTACTCAAGTTGCCAGCACTGCGCAACTGCACAGAGCAGCTTCTGTTTACAAGAAGGAAGCTCTGTTCTGACCTGCTGCATCGCTGCCTCAGCTCTGACAGAAGGACTCTTACACCATACGGTTTGGTCTAATGCATGGAATTGCCATGCACTGCCAGCAGCTGGCTGGCACGCTTCTGCCATCGCCTCCGAACACCCTCCAACAGCACCACTCTTTGCCACCAGCTTTGCACCGAAGTCAGTATTTGTCCTTGCGCTGTGGCAACCGGACTGAGCGCTCCCTATCTCAGTCTTTCAGGTCAGGATGCCACCATGAGCTGTGGCTTGCTTCCTCACTAGCCACAAGGCTTCTTCTCGCTCTTCTCCACCGTTCATGTCCCCTGGGCTGCTCTGGTGATGGGTGTCTTCTTGCACAACTCCTGATAGAATTCAGACTCCAAAAACCGTGGGTATGAGTTATTCTCCATTAGGCTGTAAACTCTCTTCTGTGCCGCACTGAAGCAGGTATGAGTGGCTTCTTGAATATTCTGCGCAATCATGTTCTTGGTTTGGAAGTCTATGTTTATCTGAAATAAAAGAAAAAGGACATTAACTTCTGAGAACTAACTTTAAGTAAAATACACCATAAAATTTCTGAAGAGGTAAAAAAAGGGAAGAACTCTTATTTTATACAAAACCCAAAGTAATTCAGAGATACTATCTTTCAGCGCTAAACTCAAAGATGTTACGAGAGTTAAATGCAGCTGGTGACTTTTCCCCCAGCTAAAATAGAAACTCTGAAATACTGCTTGTGCCATTTTCCAGTGAGAGTTGGTTCAGACCCAGCTATTGACAGTGGGGTATGTACAATGCAGTTTGGCATCTCTATCTTAAAGGGCTAAGAACTCCTAGAACTTGGCACTTATTTAAATAGGTTTTCTTTACCTCTTTGGGAGCTTCCTTTTCAATAAAGTCATTGTAGATTTTTTTTGCTTTCGACGTCAGCTTCTGGGGTGACTTGGTTTTCTTGAAGTCCTCACAAGCCAACCAGAACTCAATGTTCTCTTCGCAGAACTCGGACTTCAGAAAAGCTGGGAAAGCAGCAAGACCAAATCAATTCAGGAATCTCAAATTTACCCATTGGTCACATCTGTTTCTACCAAAACATTTTGCTGTAGTTCTAGTCTGGTTCTTGCAGAGATATCGATATATCTTTGCAATAAAAAAAAAAATTCACATTTATGTATGCAAACAAACTAATACTAACAGCTTGGCAGGCTTCACTTTGAGTTAGTAATTTTTTAGGCAAACAAAAAAATGAAAGCGATTTCTAGTCTGTGTGTTCCCTTTTGTGATGCCTGCAGAGATACTAGAAAATCCCTCTCTCTAGATGGCATCTCCTGTGTTAACCTTTACACTGGAGTAAATATTTGACTGTGCCATAAGCCTCGGGAGTATTTTTTTGCAATGGAAAGGATGACTCAAGTTCAAAGAGCAAATGGCAATATTTCTTCGTCTTTTTGCTCTGCTGTTGAGTGCTTTTCCTTGTAGAGCCACAGTAAAACCCCGAGATCATTGAACTTCAGCATTGCAGAATCCTTCCCAAGTTACTTGAATGTGTTTGTCTTAGTTAAGTGAACTTGCTCAGTGAACAAATGCTCTTTTCACAGTTGGCAGAGCCAAGCTTATAGGTATGATTTTAACTACAAGGACTACAGAAAAATTCCACTACGATGAAGTATTCTTGATGTTTTAGTATTACTTTGCAATTTTTTTAAAACACACTTCTATGAATTTTGGCTTTAAACAGTTTAAAGCATTTAACTTAAGACCAGAATCAAAGCTATTTACATTAGAAAGGTACAATGCTGACATTCCAGGAAGCAATCTCTCACAGACATGTAAACTTCACCATGCCTTTGCTCTTGAATGTTACTTTTTGAAGACAAACTTACATTTATTAGCAAGGAGTTCATCAAAGGCTTCTGACCACAGCTGGGCTTCTTCAGGGGAAGGTCTGCAGAAAAAGATAGAGAACATTAAACTCCATTGCTCAAGCTTTACTGTTTTTGTAAAGCACTTGAGTTAAAGTCTCTTTCTCCTAACTTACCTGAAGTAGGTGCGGTGTTTCCCCACTTTCTTAGATTTCATTTTAGTTGAATTGGAGGAGTTCTGCAGGAAGTAGCTCAGTCTCGTTTTCCAATCTTTAATGCTGGAAAAAAAGAAGCAACTGCCTGTTAAAAAGGAGAACTCAAGAAGCTTTAGACACCAGCCCCTTTACTGGCAAAAACCGCTTAAGTTTTCCCGACAGTGCTGTACCTAGAGAATCACCCAGAGAATCTGTCTGAGGGCAGGAAAACTATCCTCCCCTCACTTCAGCCAACAGATTTGCTTGCTAGCCAACGACCAGTGCTAGCCAAGGTATAACTGCACGTTGCAGAGGTGGGCAAGTTGCTCTGCTCCCACTGACAGCCCGCTGTACCCTCTTCCCCCCCACCGGCTCCTGTCCCGGCTCCGCAGCTGGAAGCCTCTGGAGGAACCTCCCGGGGGCTGCGGCCCCCGCTCCGCCCCGGGCGTGGGGACACTCACATCGTCTTCTTCATCCTGCCCTTCTCCGCCTCCTCCGCCTCGCTGCGGCG